GGCAGGGCAAATCCGCGCATTCCCAAGCACTCAGTACCCTAAACCTAACCCTAAACCTAACCCTAAACCTAACCCTAACGCTAAACCTAATGCTAAACCTAACGCTAAACCTAACCCTAACCCTAATCCTAACCCTAACCCTAACGCTAAACCTAACCCTAAACCTAACCCTAACCCTAAAACAAACCCCTAAAACAAACCCCTAAACCTAATCCTAACGCTTACCTTAATTTAAGTCGGCTTTCTGCCGCGGCGCCGTTTTAAAGCGCCCTTCTGTTGCCGCGCTGTTGTCACGGCGGTGATGACGTCGCGGTGATGACGTCGCGGCTTTAGCGCCGCGATTTTAGCGCCACGCTTTTGACCAGCCCGGTTTTGTCGTGCCACGCATTGACCTGCCTTCAGGTGCTTTGGAGAATAGGTTGCCCGCCCCCCTTTTTCGTGGCAACCCCATAGATATTGAAACACTGTCATTGTGTCACTCCTCCTAGCCCTTCTTTTCACTAGGCATCCCCAAATTCCGTTCTGTTTTTATACCATTAGTGGGTTATACCATTTTGTTGTTGTTAAAGGGCAAACGAAAAGTAAAAATAGCAGAGGGAGCTTCCGGGAGCATACAATTTCTTTTGTAAGGCAGGGTTGACTGCTCAGTAAAACTTCCTCTGGAATCTCCCTCCGATTCAGGGAGCTGGCAGAAAGTGGCTGTTTCCCCCCCACCCCCTCGCGCAGTGCCTACACACAAATAGATTAAGGTTTCTAATATGACACCAGGACCTGTAATTAAAAGCAAAACGGCTTTACTGCATCCCCTTGGAAGTCTCCCAATAAATCCACACTTGTTTGTGTTGTTTAAAGTCCCGCTTTATTAAAAATAACTGTTGTTGTTGTTGTTGTTGTCCATGGCAATGGCAGTTCCTGTCCACTCCCCTTCCATCTCCAGTCATTTACATTCACTTGAAAACAGAGATCCAAGACAGAGACTCAAGTAGACTCTTTGGAGCATACAGGGAGCCAGAACTATGTGTAACCTGCACGGACAGTAACGTAAAAGTTTGGTGTTCAGGCAACACAAATTGTGAGCAAACCTGAATACTGCAATAACAACCTTATTTTTGTGCTAGTTGGTCAAATTTGCATAAGAGTCATTTTGCATAAGAGTTGGCCAGTTTGACTGCTTTGCATAATTTATTCTCAATGTATTCTAATTTATTTTCACCCAAGGGTAAAACCCGTAAGGCATTGCAGGGTTACTGAAGCCCCACGTTTTCAAAACTCGCTTAACGGCAATTTCAAATGATTTCAAGCAAGCATTGCCCCTAAGCATGTATCTCCATAGGCCCGAAGGCCGGAAAAATCCTGAAAAAAGGAAGCAAAACATTGAGAAAACAGACTCTCGGGAAGATTAATTTTGCAGACAAATGTTCTCCTGGACTCCTGGCTAAAATGAAAGCCTTAAATGCAGATCCCTAGAACACCTTGGAACATCTTTCCAGCATGCCCACAAGGACCAGATCATGTACACATAGTGGTTAATGATTTTAGATAATTATTGACGTTTTTGAAATCGCCAAGTCTGCAGTTTTCTTCCTAATAAACTCTGTTAAGTAAGAAACACTGTCTCTCTGTAACACGTTACCCCTCCCTACAATGCTCAGAGGTTTTATCTTTTTATTATGAACTCAAAGGATCCTGGATTTGAGCTCCAACACTGAAAAGGTCCTGACTGAAATTGGGTGAATAAAACGTGGGCAGAAATTAACCCTTTCAGGCAGATACTATGCAAAAAATGCCTAGTACACACATTCTCAGGTCTCTTTGCTTTCATGCAAGTATTAAGGCACACATACGTACATACTCACCATTTGTACAAATACAGATACAAAACGCAGAGCTGCTCTATTTTCTCCCATAACCAAAGACCGGGTTGTGTAACACCAATATTTTTGCTTCTAATATGTATGTCTTCCCACTGTGATTCTGCTCCAAAGCTCCCCCCCTCCCCACCAGTTTTTATTTCCCTCTGCCTAAATCCTGAACGAACCACAGAGGATTGAATGAGGTGCTTTGGGGGACGATGAGAGCATCTGCAGCTTTGGGAATAATGGGAGAGTTAAGGTTATCGTACAAATGTTTTGAACCTGCTCCAATTCTGGAACACAGCTCTGGAGATTTTAAGGAGTCCCACACGGGAACATTTGTAGTCTGTTCTGGTGACATAAACACCTAGCCTCAAAAAACTTAAAAATTTCAGATTCTCAAACCCATTTCTGCAGTTCCTGTAACCACAGGACCTACTCAGGGTTCTTTTAAGGTATCTTCAGATGTTATGTTTATATAAGCTGCTACACTGATTCCTCAATTCTATGATTCATCCTGGTCTTAACAAGAGGGATCTGGGAAAGTCTGTGGTTTCATTTCTCAAACGCAGGCCTCTGCGTTGAAATTTCTATATTTTTTAGTCATTCCAGGATAACCACGTTGGAATTACACGGTTCCTGCATCTCACTTCTCAAATCGAAAGACATGATTCTAGAGCAGCCTTCATCAGTTAAGAGGTCATCATTTGGCCTTGATCTCTGGAGGTATTGGGAGTGGGAACTTAACAAAGCCGCTGGTGAATGCGCTACCATCTCACCAAAGGTCCAGCCCGCAGAAGATTTCTATGGGAGAGCTGCAGGTCTCTGCCTAATTTCTTCGTAATGGCTGGAGAAGGAGAAACCCAAGGAAAACCATAAAACCTTCAATGGGTGATCAACATCATCAGGGTTCCAGCCCTGACATGTTCCTTTTCAAATAGTTAAATTTTAAAAGAGGATGATCGGGATCAAGTTCGAGATGCTGCAATGCACAGACCCAACATTCCAGAAATACACCCCGCTCCCCCGAAAAGTGTTGGGTTTCTTGGTCTGTACAGAGCTCTTGGGAGAAAGGGAGGAGGAGAAGAGTCTTTGGTTATTGGTGTTGCCACGTCAAGTCTCGCTGTGAGATTAGTAAGGACACCATTGCTGTTGATATTTCAGAAAACCCAAAAGGTACTTGCTGGAAGTAGCAGTTGTTCCTGAAAGAAGCACCTCCCTCCTCTCTAGTGTGAGGTATTCAGTTGGCCCCAGAAGACTCTGCCACCGGGGCAGGCAGGTAGAACCAAGAACAAGGAGGTGTTGGTGGACAATGACAAAAAACGTAGCACCCTTCTGTCTCCTACGTAGGATCCAGCTCAAAGACACTGTCATTGGTTGGTGAGGTGAAGAAGCAGGTCTGGTCTGAGGCTGGCCGCCGACTGCCCTGGCTAAGCCCGAGGGACTTCTCAAAATCCAGCAGCTGCCCCATGAAATTGAAGTTAGGCGAGATGTTGGACTTCTTCCGCTTCACCAGGTCGTAGGCATCGTTGAGAGACAGGTTGAGCTTCTGCATGAGGTAGGCTACAGTGACGGTGACCGAGCGACTGATGCCTGCCAGGCAGTGCACCAGAATGCCGCAGTTCCGAGAGAGGGCCTCATCTGACGAAGAGATAAGGGACAGATGGTCAAGTGAATGCAATCGCACACAAGGGCCGCCACTTCTAAGCAAGTGGGATTTGTTAACACTGAGCTGGGGAAAAAAAAACAACGAAACGGGCGCGTCATGATTTCTGTGACTCATTTCTGATCCAAGAGAAACAGCTTTCCGTATGACTCTGCATTTTTCCCATCTTTGTGCCTGGTGTATAAGAAGATGCCAAAGCCTATTTTTCACAGTTAAAGCAAAAGGGGTGGGGGGGACTTCAATTTCATAATCAACCTAGTCATATCCATATTGCAAAAACTGGTTTGAAATGAGAGGGCGATTTGAAATCGCTTTGCTACGATATTGCCCAGTAGTCCCTAGATTTTGTAGATGCATGTTACGTTTTGTGGTTCCACCACAAAACCGCGTTCGACTAAACCGCGGTCGACTAAACCGCGTAGCTGACGTCATCAACAGCGCAACAACAGCGCGGAGACAGAAGCATGCTGTAAACCTTAAACCTAAAATTAACCCCTAAACCTAACCCCCCTAAACCTAACCCTAAACCTAACCCCCCTAAACCTAAC